CAGTCCAAGATATTTTAATGGGAGCTAGGGATTGGTTGATTTGGAGGAATTCACAAATTTAAAGAAGCTCTAGGAGCTTCTTTAGATATCAGAATTCTACTTTTCTGTGGATTGACATGTTAACTAGAAACAGTAGCAAAATTAGCCAAGATAGATTTCAGGGTTTGTGCGTTGGTGGAGGTGGCTTTTTTTTAATGATATTTCCTTTTTTTATTTTTATTTTTATTTTTATTTTTATTTTATGATATTTTCCTTTTATTTATTTATAAGTGACTTAGGGTTTCTATTGCTTTGAAATTTAGCGAATAAGAATCCTAAATTAATGCATGGAGATCAAAGTTTAGGGTGTCTACTACGAATTTGAAAGTTTTTGAGAATTTGTTTGAGGTGTTTAAGTCACCCAATTGAAGATAATTTAAATTATGTTTGTTTTAACCTTGTTTAGCCTATTCTCGCAAAAAATCCTCTAATGATGGGCTTAAATGCTACAAAAAATAGGATTATAATTTTTTTGAAGTGGGGAATTACTTATAGTTCAAAGAATAAAAGAAAAAACATCAGGAAATAAACCATGATAAATCCTACTGCTTACCAAAATAATAGTCTTAGGAAGTTTCTCCTAACCCTCCATGCAACTTGTTTGAGCTCACCATATCTTTTGGGGGTCCATTTGTTAGTCTCATTTTTAAATGAAGCGTAAATCCTTTATTCCTTAGTGCTTAGGTATTCCTATCTTACTATAAACATAACCTAGAGGACTTCAAGGGAAAAATCAAAGGACATATCATTTACTAAACTTAGATGGCTTAGGCATTTCCTAAACCACTTTCCAAGAGCACCAAGAAGTATCCAAGACCATCGCAAGTCCTTATTCAAGATTAAACCTACGTTAAACCTAACCTTTGAACATTTATAATCAACCTTGAAAGTGATTTGATCCATCATTTATAGGCATGGCCAAAGCTTGGTTTACCAAGTTTGACCATGAATCTCTTAAAAATCCTAAAAATACCTAAATGATCTTTCTTAGGTGAGAAAAAGCCCTAGACCCTTAGGTTGTGACCTAAGACCTTTGAATAATTCCATAATCATGTTGAAACCTAATGGAGCTCATTTTGGGCCATGGATAACAATGGTTGGCCCATTCAACCTTTGTTGATCCATTTGAACCATAAAACATATTTCATGAATTAAACCTTAAATCTCCCACACCATAGACTTAAACATCTACCTCCAAGAGCCTCCTAATGTAAATTTGAGTGAGATTCAGTATGGTCATGACTATGAAGAAGCCCTTTTTTATCTAATCCTTCCCAATAGTCGATCCATAATGAAGAAGTGTTCCTTGTAATACAACACTACATTGAGGTATAACCCAAACCAGAGCTCACTAGAATAAGGGACTAGGACATTATGAGGAGAATGATCAATCCACATCTATTTAACTGTTGGATTGGTCCTTCTACTTCCATAGATCCTACTGGATAGATTTGATAGGGTTTGGTAGAGTAGAATGCATGGTTCAAGTCATTATAGGAGCTTGAAGATGAAATCATGGTTGGACCGGTCCAGTCGGCCCCTCTTGGGCCGGCCTAACAGTACTCCCCTCCCAAAAAACTCACCTTATTCTCAAGGTGAAAGGAGGGGAATTGCTCTTTCACTCTTTTAAATGGCTCCCAGGTCTCCTCGAAATCAGGAAGGTCCTTCCGTTGAATCAACATTTCCTTGTGTCCTTGATCTGATCTTACCCCCATAAGCTCGAGGGGATCTAACATCACTTCCCAATCCTCAGTCATTGTTGCTGGTAACTCGGCGCTAACTGCATGCTCCCCCAAAGCTCTCCTCAGCTGTGACACGTGGAACACTGAGTGTATAGTAGCGGAGGAGGGTAACTGCAGACGATATGCTACTGCTCAAATCTTCCCCAAGATCTCATAGGGACCAAAGTATCTTGGGGCAAGTTTCTCGTTCCTCCTGCTAGCCACTGATTTATGCCTGTAGGGCCTCAACTTCAAGAACACTTTCTCCCCCCACCTCATATTGTATGTCTCTTCTTGTGCGTATCTGCTCGCTTATTCATTATTTATTGTGCCCTCTCTAGATGTTTCTTTAACTCTTCCAACATCCGGTCCCTCTCCTCTAAGTAATGTTCGACCGAATAGATATGTCATATGTGTGTTTCTCTAACTTAGAGGGCTAACTCTAGAGACATGTCTTATCATTATGCAAGTGATAGATTCTGAATCAGAGGTCATTTGATAGGATTTTGAAGTATTTAAAAATCCATTGGAAAAGGCTTTCAGGACTAAGCCTTTGGACTTAGGATTTGAGTCTAAATTCTTGATTTGGATTGGGTTTGATTGGAATTTAGATAGATTGGGGTATGAATTGACTTGAGTTTGGATTGATTTGAATTTGAATTGGTTTTAGAGTCTATTAGAGACCTCATACAAAAACGAGGTCAACAATCACCTATGAAGCAAACCTTCTGGCTTACAAATGAAATCCCAGGCAATTCGAGACCTAAGGGGTCCGATCCAATCCGTGTACGCATGGAACCCATGACCGCCCATGCGTCTTGGCCGAGAAACCCCCTCCCAGGCCACATAGTGAAGGCTTCTATGAGTAGGGTTTCTGTCCTAGAGAAAGCTCCGGCAAACCTTCTCGATTTTATGAAGAACACTTCTTGGGACCATGGTATGGGTCATAGTGTAGATTGGGCTTTATAGCAGAACAGAATTAATAAGCGTTACCCATCCGGCCATAGATAAGTGATGAGTCCCCCACCCAAGGGTGCAGCAGACGGCTTTTTGAACCAAGAAGGCAAAGTCCTTCCTGACGAGCCTCCTCACTGCCAACTTGATGCCCAGGTACTCCATCTCATCCACCCTGCAACAACCGACCATCCTCGCTAGCCGGTATTTAGTAGTAGAGGGAGTCCGCTTACTCAAAAGAATGACAGACTTACTCGTATTCACCTTCTGGCCAGTCCACGAACAATAGTCCTCAAGAATGGACATAAGCTTCCTAGCATTGGGAATAGAAACACCTACAAAAAATAAGACATCGTCAGCATAAAGAAGGGGGGAGACAGAAGGCCCCCCACTCCCGATGGAAACCCCCAGCTCCGCAAACTTCTGGTGAAAGTGACCCGACATAAGCTCCAAACAGAGGATGAACAACTAAGGCGACAACGAGCACTCTTGCCTAAACCCACACTCCACAGTAATCATCTCCGTCAGCCGGCCATTGATAAGAATAGAAAACTTCGAGTCCTAGACACAATTGATCACCCAAGAACTAAACCTTGGTGGAAAACCCATCCGCCTCAACACGATCACCAGTGTTCGCCAGCTCATCTTGTCATAAGATTGTTCCATGTACACTTTAATCTCCATGAGCCCCTTAGTGGAATTGGACACCCTAAACTTGTGCATCAGCTTCTGCCCAAGCAAACAGTGATTAGAGATGGAACACCCGGGCACGAAGGCAGCTTGTTCTTCCGAGACCAAACCCGGTAGCACCCCTTTAAGCCGGTTGACAAGCACCTTGGCAACGATCTTGTAAATTGTTTGGCAGAGACTGATTGGTCTAAACTTGGACGGGTGATACGGGTTCACCACTTTTGGCAGAAGAACTACCACCGTATCTTTCCAAGAAGGATCCATGGTACCCGAACTTTACAAAATCCATACAAGCACGCAAAACTTGATCCCCGACTATGCCCCAATAATGCTTGAAAAAAGAAGCCGTAATACCGTCCCTCCCGGGGGCTTTGTTTCGGCCAAGAGAGCTAACAACCGCCCAGATCTCCTCCCGAGAAACATCCCTGTCCAGGATCCCCGCAAAGGGAGCAAGATAGATCCTTTGAGATTCAAAGGATGTCCAAACCTCCTCGACAATGTCGTGGCCTTTCCACTTTCGCTCAAAGAAGCTGTAGATGACTTTAGAGATGTCCCCACGCTCCGACACCACTGTCCCATCCTCCTGTTTAATAGACTCAATACTCTTGGCTCTCCTTCAAGCTGACGCCATGGAATGAAAAAAATGAGTATTACCATCCCCTTCCTCAATCCAATTAGCCTTGGCCCACTGCCCCCACCAGGTCATAATGCGAGCAAGAGTACTATTAAGCAACTGGACCTTGTACCACAAAGCCTCTGATTGATTCACTAACAACCCGTGTGGAAGGCACTCCAGCTCCTGTAGGGACTTAATCTCCTTATCAAGGTTTGCTTTCAACAAATTGAGTTCCTTGATCTTGTTCTTTCTCCAGAAAAATAAGGCTTTCAGGGCCCATTAGCATTTCTTGTGGAGTTTAGCCGCCTCAGTCCCCGTGTCATCCACGCTCCA